TGGGTTCTAATAATGTTAGGCCAAAGAGGAGGAATTTCACATGGTTTGGTACAATTTATTGCTATATGTGGACTTCCCAGAATTTTCTCGTTTAACTATTGGTACAGGCATCTGGCCATGGCTCTCTCTACTTGCCTGGGTGACTGACTGAGATGCAGGGCATTGCTGAGCCCAGGTTTCGTGAGGCTGAGATGCCAGAACCCTGGTGGCACAGGTAAGAAGTGGGAAGGTGTAGGCACCGGTGACAGGCACTGGCAGAGTCGCCATGTGCAAACTGCACACTCAGCGCACAGAGCACACTCCCTTGCTGGGCATCTGAGGAATATCTGAGTAGGCCTGGAAGGCCAGGCACACGGCAGGACACGGTGCACAGGCCAGCCTCACCGACGTGGATGGGAATGCAAGCCTTGTAGCAGACAGCAAGCGCTGGTGCTTCTACCAATCACACGGCAGGCACGTGGGCCATCAAGGGCAACCCGGGAGTGATGGTTAGAATTGTCTGACCTGTAGGATGACCACTGATGCCTGAATGATTACTACCTTCCTAAAAATTAAGTAGCTGTACAGCTTTCTAAAATGAAAACTCCATGTAGGGGCCACAAACCTGGCCTGTGTCATCAAACTGACCCTGAGCCAGCCCATAGAAACCCTTGGAGGCAGCTCACAGCATGGCCCCTGCACACCCTGTCCCTCCCTCTCCAAGCCTTTTCCAAAGGGATTTGCATGAGGAAAGGTCGGCTTTTGAGGGCTCCTTGACACAGGCTCTGAATGGACACTGATGCCTAGAACCCCAGAACCCTCATGCCACTACAGTCTGCTGATCAAAGTGGGTGGAGGCTATGGCCACAGGGCGACAGAGTCTCAGCTCAAGTTTGAATCACATGGTGCAGCAGGTCTCACACTGTGGTTATTGCCTCAGTCTTCAGTATAAAAATATCTATTTTATTTATTTATATGTATTTTTAGAGATAGGCTCTTGCTTGTTGCCCAGGCTGGTCTTGAGCTCCAAGTGACCAAGCTCCAAGCTCCAAGCTCCAAGGTTCAAGTGACCTCCCACTGGGACAGAGGTGCCACCACACCCAGCTTTTCTCCATTCCTGAGCTTATGTTTGGAAGGTGGCAGAATCTACCATGGGCTCTCTGAGTCACAGGGCTACAGCCAGCAAGGGACGCATGGAGGTTGGTGCCCAGGGCAGGACCTGAGAGCAGGGGCTCCACATCACCCTCCAGAGACCCGCCTGCCCCGTCATGGATAGCTCTTCAAGGACTGTAGGTTCCTGTGACTTTGCAGCTACCACAGCTCCTTCCAATGGAGCACCTAGGGGGACATAAGGACACTATCTAGACACACACTCTTTTTCTCCACACTGACTTACAAGGCCCGGCAGGCACTGTGCTTTACTGGCAAGGGAACATTTTCACATGTCTCAGGGCTCCTCCTCCAATCAGCTTTACCAGCTTCATACACTGCACATCGCCACACTGGCCCACTGCACTTCAGATGTCTCTATGACATGTGCAGGCCAGAGGGTAAGGGACAGACCCCACAGGAGTCAGGGCTCAGAAACCTCCAGATGGGCCAGAGCGCTGCAGAGAACCCTCCAAGGTGAAATGCAGGTTCATGCTCTAAACTCCACTTGGCATCACATACCACTGAAGGTCTCTAGGAAGTAACATGTACCACATGTGCACATGCTAATTTGACCTGTGCACTGGGCAGCTCAAAAACACCAAGCAACCACGCCATCTCCCACAGACAATTATTTTCCTTTTGGAGATGGTTCCTAGATTACTACTGGGCCGCGGGAAGAGACTGAACAACTGGCTGTGAGGTGGTGAGTGACCAACCCCGGATCCCATCCCAGAGTGAGGCTGCCTAAACCCCAGGCCACGATGCCGGATGTGCACACAGTAGGTGGAGATGGGCTTGCCCAGGCCGTGAAGTACGAGGAAGGCAGCCGCACGAGCAGGTGACACGAACTGCTCCCACACGGTGCCCGCACACCTCTCCCCTCGATCCACACCCACAGTGTCTGGGGGCTGCTTCGCAGGTGCTTCCCCTGCTCAGCTGTTGCCTGCTGGCTCAGCACAGTGTGGCTCTTGAGGACACTGGTGATGACAGCCCCCAGAAAACAGAATTTCCAGTTGTTTATGTGATCTCTACTTTATCAGGACTGAGATGGCCAGGACACATCTACATGGATCCTTAGGGATAATTTCAGTATTAAATGTAGAGAATTTCGTGGAACTCATCTGTAGGAAAAACTGAGTCAACCTCTCAGGAGCCGAAGCTGGAAATACAGATGCTGGCATGAGAAGCTCTTCCCTCACGGGGCTGCACCTCTCACCCTGCTCTGGTCTGAGCGTCGGCTCTGTCCTCTTTGCTCCTTTCTCAGCTTCCTTAAAAACGGCTGGCTTTGGTCCCCAGACTCGTTATTGTTCTCTGTACCCACAGAATAAGTTGGTTATTATACGCATTGTTCTATAGCTTACTTCTTTTGGAATTAAAAATAAATACAATCTCAGCAAACTTCCTGCCCCATTCTTAACGGTGACACAGTATCCTATCATATCCCCATACCAGAATTTACTCAAGCAATCTCTTAGTGATGGGCGTTCAGACTGCTGTTGTTACTATCTTCCCGTTTGCTTCCTTAGCTCTTGGGGGTGTGTCGGTGACCACCACTACAGGCAGCGTCTAGAAAACACTCAATTCACCCTTTTCAAGCATGTCTTGTACTTGCATTAACCAACGCCAAGGAATTTTCCCCTCTTATTTTCATAGAAATAAGTTTTTGCTCCTTGCAATGCTGGTGCCTCCCAGGATAAACTTCCTGGAGATGATGTGTGCACAGCTTCTATTAAGTAGGAAATCGGTGTTTATGGATTAGTGACTTTGGATATCCATAAAATATCACATTTTTCATGTAATGCTCATTTCGGCTAAACTTTAAATTCAAAAGTTAAATGCATGGCAAAGGAGAAGCCAGGTAAAAATCAGCTGTCACTTATTTTTCTGTTGGCAGAAATGGCAAGGGGATGTGGCACTTCAAAAAGTGAACCTCCTGGGCTGGGAGGTGGGGGTGCAGGTAAACCGGGTTGAGCTTGTGGTATTATTTTTGGGCATTCAGAATTCTAGTTATTTTACTATTTTGGGAATTCAGAATTTCTAGTTATTTTACTATTAAAATTTATAGTCACAAGCAGTGCCTGTGGCTCAGTGAATAGGGTGCTGGCTCCATATACCAATGGTGGCAGGTTCAAACCCAGCCCTGGCCAAACTGCAACCAAAAAATAGCCCCAGCTACTCGGGAGGCTGAGGCAAGAGAATCACTTAAGCCCAGGAGTTGGAGGTTGCTGTGAGCTGTGTAATGCCACGGCACTCTACCAAGGGTGATAAAGTAAGACTCTGTCTTTACAAAAAAAGAAAAAAAAATTTATAGTCACAACTGTAGTGATTACAGTCTTCAAATGTACCATCCTCCCTATCATAGGGTTGTATTTGGCTGATTTCTTCTTTGTGTCAAAGAAAATTTTAGTATTTTATTTATTTTTATTTTGTTATTTATTTATTTTTATAGCTAATTTTTTTCTTTTCTTTTCTTTTCTTTTTTTTTTTTTGCAGTTTTTGGCCAGGGGCTGGGTTTGAACCTGCCACCTCCGGCATGTGGGACCAGAGCCCTACTCCTTTGAGCCACAGGCGCCACCCAAATCTTAGTGTTTTAAAGAGTCCCTCAAGATTGCCTGGCTTAAGGAAACCACTTCACAAAAATAGACTGTATTTTCATATATTTACAAGATACCACTGGAAAATGAAAGTAAATAAAAGCAAAACCATCCTTGTCTTTCTGTTAAGTCCTGTGTAGTAGACACTGGATGCAGGCAAAGTGGCTTGGAACCAGGGAGCCCTGTAGCAGAGTGGCCCCTGTGCAGGGGGCAGAAGCAGACCACAGCTGGGGGGAAGAGAGGGGTGGAGGGAGCTGAGGGGCTGGACAGAGCAGGGCGAGCCTGGCTGGATCAGCCAATGCAGAGAATGGAAGAGGACGGGATACACTCAAGGGTCCTTACCAGCAAGAGATGCCTAGAGGCCAGGCCAAGACTGCCCTCCACTACACCTTGCCAGGCTTTTCCCCTATCCTGTCCATCCCTTCACGGTTCCTGCTCGGAGCACATCCTGTATTAAGCCACTTACCTGTGAATCCCCAGCTCAGAATCTTCTTCTGAGGGACTCTACTGAAGACAATCCTACTAGGTAACTATTTATACAGAAATAACACGCTAAATGTATATATACACCTGTATGTGTCTGTACACACACATTGTTTTACACTGAATGTAGTCTGATCACTATGTTGAGTGTATTTCTTTTTTCATTTTGTTGCTGTTGTTGAGTGTTAGTTAGGACTTCCTATGTGACTGTGACCTACGCTGACAGCTGCAAAGGGAGCCTCAAAATAAGCTCAAGTGACACCAAGATGATCAGGTCCAAAGTTGTGTGAAATAAAAGTTCTCTCTCAAGAGTTTATCCATTTCAATAATTTTCATCTTTTTAACCAATATTATTTCAAATCTATTTATTATATATCCTATTAAATAACCAGCAAAGAACATCTGGATATATGGAGGGAGGCCATACAGTTTAAAGAAGAATGGTGTAGGCTCCAACCCACGCTAGACAGGCCTGCGTTCAAATCCTAGGCCCCATCACACACCAGTTCTGGGAATTAAGTCCTTAAACTCTAGAATTGGTTACTTTAGTGTTGTGACCTAAGTTCTAAAAACTCTAAAATTTGAGTTTCCATATCTGTAGAAAAAGGAGAGTAATAGCACGTTCCTTACAAGGTTGCTGTGGAGATTGAGAATTCAGACAAAAGCTCAGAACAGTGTCTGATGTGTAGAAAAGACTCAGTAAATGCCCCTGGTATTGCTGAATTTAAATTGCCATATAAAGTAGCTATCTGAATAACATACCAAAAATGCATGAAAACCGACTGCACTTACTTGTAATGTAGTATCGAAGACAACAAGCTTTGAACTGGTCGGAACGATGTCATAACACTTGTGTGACCTCATGAATCGCATGTAAACACCACTTTCTGAGTCTTCTACTGCTAGAAGGGAAAAAGGCAAAATATCAGTGATAAAAACAACTTCCTCAACTGGAAGAAGAGCATGTACATAAATCTACACTAATGGCCTTAAAATACAAAATGTCTTCCTCTCAAGGACAAGAAGAAGGCAAAGACGTCTGTTCTTGCTGACGCGGTTCAGCGCTGCACTGAAGGTCCTTGCTGGCGCAATATGGCAGAGAGGAGAATGAAAGCACAGCACAGACGCTGAAGAGGACAAACAAAACTGTCTCTACATGCAAACTGTCTGATCTTCTACATAGAAAACACCAAAGAATCTAGAAAAAGTTCCTAGATCTAAAAAGAACAACTTTTGCCAGGTCACAGGGTATAGGGTTTGTAATGCAAAAACAAAGCCATCTGAACGTGGAAAAGTCAAAATCTTTCCCTTTAAGATCTGGAAGTGACAAGGATGCCCATTACCCCCACTTCTATTCAGCACAGTGCTGAAGGCCTAGCCAGAGCAATTAGGCAAGAGAAAGAAGTTTCGAAAAGGCACCCAAATTAGAAATAAAAAAATTAAATTGTTACTGTTTGCAGACAACATGATCTTATATATAGAAAAGACACAACCAAAAAACTTAGAAATAAAACAAATTCAGTAAAGTCGGAGGATACAAAATCAATACACAGGCTTGGCACCCGTAGCACAGTGGTTATGGTGCTGGCCACATACACCGAGGCTGGCGGGTTTGAATCCAGTCTAGGCCAGCTAAACAACAATGACAACTGTATCAAAAAATTAGCTTGGGCATTGTGGCGGGTGCCTGTAGTCCCAGCCACTTGGGAGGCTGAGGCAAGAGAATTGCTTACGCCCAAGAGTTGGAGGTTGCTGTGAGCTGTGATGCCACAGCACTCTACTGAGGGCCACATAGAGAGAATCAATACACAACTATCTGAAATAGAAATAAGGAAATAAATACATAAATTCATCTTTTAGAGACAGGGTATTGCTCTGTTGCCCAGGATGGAATGCAGTGAAGCAATGACAGCATTGCTCACTGTAGCCTTGAACTCCTGGGCTCTAGTCATCCTTCCATTTCAGCTTTCCAAAGTGCTGGGATAATAGGCATGAAATACTGCACCACCCTGAAATAAAAATTTTTTAAAATCCCATTTACAAAAGCTACAAAAAAAATACTTAGAAATAAATTTAACCAAGGAAGTAAAGATCTCTACAATAAAAACTATAAAATACTGATGGAAGAAATGGAAGACACAAATAAATGAATAGATAACCTGTGTTCTTGGAGTGGAAGAATTAATATTGTTAAAATGTCCATACTATCTGAAGCTATCCACAGATTCATAGTATCAAAATACTAATGACTAATTTCTATAAATAAATAGAAAAAACAATGCTAAAATTTGTATGGAATACAAAGACCCTGAATAGCCAAGGCAATCTTGAACAAAAGGAAGAAAGGCATCACACTACTCTGACTTCAAGATATACTACAAAGCTATAGTAACCAAAACAGCATGGCACTGGAATAGAAATAAACAAACAGAAGAATGGAACATAATAGAAAGCCCCGCAATGTATCTATGTGTTTATAGTCAAATGATTTTCAACAAAGATTCTATGAACTATCTCTTCAATAAATGGTGCTGGATATTCACATACAGAAAAATAAAACTCTATCTCCATATGGATTAAAGACTTACATGTAAGATCCAAGATGATGAAGCACCCAGATGCAAACATGAGGGAAAAACTTCATGACCTTGGTCTTGGCAGAAGTTTTTTGGATATGACCTCAAAAACACATGCAGCAAAAGCAAAAGTAAACAAATGGGATTACATCAAACTGAAAAGCTTCTGCACAGCAAAGGAAGCAATCAACGGAGAGACAAGACAACCTACAGAACGGGAGAATATAACTGCAACTGTACAAGTGACAAATGGTTAACAGTCAAAACACATATGTAACTCAAGCAACAGCAAAAAACAAAAGAAAATGAAACCCAAATAATTTAATTTAAAAATGTGCAAAAGAATTGAATTAGATATTTCTTAAAACAAGACACGTAAATGGACAAGTACATGGAAAAAATGCTCAGTATTACTAGTTATCAGGGAAATGCAAATCAAAACCACCATGAGATATCATTTCACTCCAATTAGAATGACCACTGTCAAAAAAGCCAAAAATTAACAAGTCTTGACAAAGATGTGGAAAAAGGGAACCCTTACATATTGTCGATGAGAATGTAAACTCTCATCAACAGCCATTAAGGAAAACAATATAGAGGTTCCTTAAAAAATTAAAAATACAAGAAAAAAAATACAACTATCATATGATCTGGCAATCCCAGATGGGTATATACCCCAAGGAAATGAAATGAGTGTATCAAATAGATGTCTGTGCTCCCGTGTTCTTTGCAAGCACCCTTTGCAATAACCAAGACATGAAATCAGCCTAAGCATTCATCAATATATGAATGGATAAAGAAATGTGTATATACACAATGGAATACTACTCAGCCATAAAGCAGAATGAAATCCTGCCATGTGACAACATGGATTAACCTGGAGGACACTGCATTAAGAGAAATAAGCCAGGCATAGAAAGACAAATACCACATGACTTCACCCGTGTGAAATCTAAACAAGTTGGTCTCATAGAAGTTGAGAGTAAACAGCCAGTTACCAGGTGCTGGGGAGGGAGGGGGCCGAGGGGCAGGCGAGGCTGGTCAGTGGGTACAAAGTTACAGCGACACAGAAGGAATAAAGTCTGGTGCTCTAAACCACGTCTGGTGACCATAGTTAACAAGAATGTATTCTGTATTTCTAAATAGCAAGAAGATAGAATTTTGAACGTTCTTATCACAAAAAATAATAAATGTTCAGGGAGATGGATATGCTAATGACTCTGATTTGGTCATTACACTGGGTAGATCCATATCAAATATCACGTTATATCCCATAAACATGTGTAATTATTTGTCAGCCAAACATAAAACTAAAAACAATAAGGTAAATGAAAGGAAAAAAGTAACAAAGAAATGCAAATACAAAACATATACTAGCAATGAACAATAAGAAATGAGCATTTTTTTAAAAAAGGCAGTATTTACACAAATGCCACATGCAAACATTTCTACATGAGAGAACAAAGAAAATGGCAACTAAACGGACAAATACATAAATGCCTTTTAAATTAATTGTTTAAATCTCTATAAAACCAAACTGAAAATGTAAACAAAAATGAGGACAGTGCACTGTGGGGTTTCCAGCACATTTGTTAGGAAACTGCACGGCCCCACCACGCCTCCAGTTCTGCGGAAATATAGGAGTTTCCTGGGCCACCATCCTCCTTTGCAACCATGTTGAATTTACACCCCGGGTCTCTCTGACACCCACCCATCTCTCTGCCTGAGTGGCCACTCTAGATATCCTAGCTCTCTTAGCTGTCCCTTCTCAGCTTGCTCTCTTCTGCAGTCTCCCCTCTGCAAATCAAACATTCCACCAGATGCAAACCTAATTGTGTCACTCTCCAGCTGAAAACACTCTGATGGCTTCCACCTGCTTTAAAGAAAAGACAAAAGGCTGGAAGTAAGGTCCACCTGAGAGGCCAGGCCCCCCTCCCCTCCCTCCAGAGTGCTCTGTGGCCATGAGACCTTCTACTACATCTTATCCAGTAGGATATTGTGAAGTAACAGATAAAATACTATAAGCTTTCGGAAGAAGTCATGTTAGACTTCCTTCTCCTTTCCAGTTAGGGCTGGTTACCTGGCTGTGTGATCTCAGGGGATGGGTACTCACCCAGGTTTAAATCCTGCCCCTCTTCAGAGTCCCACCATTCCAGTCACTCCTGGACTCTTCCTGCCCCAATGTCTCCCCTCCTGCTATGGAACGGAGTCCAGCCTTCTCAGGGTGGCACTCCTGAGTCCCCACATCTGCCTGCTCTGTAGCCTCCTCTCCCCACCTCCTGGTTTCATGTCCAGGCAGCTGGGGTCCCTGCTAGTCCTCTGTGGTCCTCAAGCTCACCCTCCTGCACCTGCTCGTTTGCTTTAACATCAATGTCCTTCTCTGCTTTTTCTTGTCCAGTTACAACCCAATCTCAAATGCCATCTTTTCCCACAAAAGCAGCCGACATCTGAGTCCTCACTGGGAACCCAGATTATTACAATGAATTACAGCATTTACTTTATGTAACAACCTTGAGGAATGTGCCTTTAACTTCTTCACTTTACCTCTTGAGGAAACTGAGGCTAACAGAAGCTATATCATGTGCTCAAAGTCAGACAATGAGGAAGGGACCCAAGTGGGATTTGGGGCTCCGGCCACTTTTCCCATTGAACCCTGCTGCCTGACACACTGAGAAGGGGCTGCCTGTGTCCCAGGCCTGTCTGGGGTGTGGAGATACCAGTGAACACAATGGCCCATTCTCTGCCCTCTGAGCTCACACACTAGCGGAGGGTGAGTACCCAGCCCCTGAGATCACACAGCCAGGTAACCAGCCCTAACTGGAAAGGAGAAGGAAGTCTAAAATGACTTCTTCTTCCGAAAGCTTATAGTATTTTATCTGTTATTTTCCATTAATTATTATCTCTATCTCATGAATAGTGACTATATATTTCTAATATTCTCTTCCTTCTTGGATGGTAATTTCTTCAAATGCTAGGCTCTTAGTCATCTAATCTACAAATTAGTTCAGTCAATAATATGTGGGTCCCTACCAAAGCTGACCCAGGGACTAGAGGCAGTTCAGACAGAGAAGGAAAAAGGCATAAAAAGGGCTCAGCTGTAAGCAGATCACAGCTTTGTGCCACTAGCGTGAAGCTTCGAGGAAGGAGTCTCCGAGAGACCCCAGAGCTATGGTGCAGGGATCCCTCCTGCCCTTTAGGTTATAGGCTGTTCCTGCGACATCACTTCTGGCATTTCTGCCCACAAGCCCAGTGGCCAGAGAATGTCCGTGAGCAGAGATGCTGAAAGATGAGAACCTGGGTGAGACTAGGAGCATGCAGGTGCAGAA